CATATACTAGGTTCCTATTTGACATGCATCCTGCATACTGCTAGGATCAGCAATGTCATTGTTGTACTGTGTGATGAAAGAATGAAAGATGGTAGATTTTAAGCTCCATGAAAGTAATGTGAAAGTGAAATAATCAGCATGTCAAACGTGGGACAAAGAAAAAATCTAACTCCCTGGCAGAAAAGAAACCAATAAACCATTAAATTCAATCAAATAGTTTCATGAACCACGTTGAAAGCGACTTGATCGATTTCAGAAGCTTGGCATGTCAATGTAAAGAGAAAACACACACATGGCTTCTTCATGTATCTGGCCACTTTTCAAAGTAGTTGTGGATGACTCCTCTCAGAGGCAAACAAAGTCCTCAAGTGTCTGCTGAATTAGAGAAACTGTTTTATATGTTTGGCTTTCCTAAAAGGCTACATTCAGACAATGTGGGTTAATTCAAAAACAAAAACCTGGAGAATCTTTGTCAAACCCACAAAATTAAATTTGTAAATGGTGCATCCAGAAACCCATCTGCTCAAAGTCAAGTAGAACGAAACAACAGCACTATCAAAGCTAGGAGGGAAGTGCAAGTTTTTAACAAGACTGCAGACCTATAGCACAAGTTTCCTGTGAGAAGGGGGACTGGGACTGGAGCAGACTAACATTGAGCACCAGTAAATTGTCAATAAATTGTAAATACTTTATCATCCACTCCCCTGAGGGCTTTTCAGGGATAATTTATGCAGATACAATGAGAGAAATACTGTATTTATTTTTTAGTGTGACATCTCTTTCCTTGACTATAATGGGTCAAGTGACAAACATCTGGTTTCTTGCATGATAAAGAAATCAAGGCTACCAATTTTTCCAAGGTTTGCAAATTTTAGAAGTTTTTAAATTAATTTTCACGTTTTTTTTTTCATTTCAACATATGATGCATATTAGGCTCAACCTATCAATGCCTCAACACCCTTGAGTGATTTATACATTAATTCCTACGTTTTATTTGAAGACATAAATAGTTGAGTTTACTTTAGTGAACTATCTAAATTTGCCATCATAAAGGTCACATGATCGAAAGCTGCAAAGGAAAAAGTAGTTTATTCCTGTTGCAATTTATGAACGTCTTATTCATGCTTGGAAAGACCTGTTAGTAAAATGCAGTCAACATGTTTGATTAAAACTAAAATTTCATTGGTGGATGGATGTGCAATATCAGGTTGCAGGCTCCTAAACTAGCTTGAAAGTGTGAGATTTAACAATGATTACCCTATGATGTGGACAGATGGACGGTCGCATGGACACCTGATTACCAAAATTTATTGGATCAACAGATTACCAAATTTTTTATGTCGGGGCTTCTGGCTTGGAGTTCCGCTATAAGTCTTCTGGTTGTCTGAATATTATTGTGGTCAGGACAATTGTAAAACTAATTTTTGGTTCACGTCCTGTCCGCTTTCTGTCTATTGAACAACGGTGCCTTGAAAGAGTTTAATCTAAAAAAAAACACTAGAAGAAAAATGTTGTCAATGTAGATTAACAGTGCTAAATGCATTTAAAGTTTCACATTATACTGTACTATTTATATATTTCTGTCATTTTGTTCTTTTCTTAACAATAATTATAATATATTGACTCATCTATATCAATGCCTCATGAAAATGTGTTATTGATGGTGTTTGTTTTTTGTCTAAAATTATTTTGTCAGAGGAGCAACTGATGCTGGCCTGAGCATTGCCATTAGAATAAAACAGCCCTTCTCTGGGAATGTAATTAAAGACCTATTAAGAGCATTCAAGAACCTCCTTACAAGCAACTATCCAGCTGTTGTCTTACCCTTAGCAACCAGAGGATTAGCCAGGCGGCTTTTATGTGGGATCAGTCTCGTTTTTCTCCTGAAACGAGTATTAGAACCCCCATCAGGGAATTACCTTAATTTACGTATTATTTGCAGTATTTTGAAAATATTTACATAAGATTTACCTTATCTCGCCTTTGGAACCTTTACATTTTACAGGATCATCTCCCTTTTTACATGTTATCTTCGTGGTATTTACACCCTTTTTACGGTAACTTTTGAGATCTGGTAAAAGTGCATGTTTCCTGTTAAACGTCATTGACAGCGACCTGTAGTTGATTTACGTGATAACATGTTAGAAAAGAATTTTAAATTCATCAGTTTTTCCAGCCAGAAGTTTATTTACTTGAAAAGAACTAATTCTTGTTAAGTCTCCACCAAAGTAACCTGAGTAATTGTCTCAGGATCTTCGTATAGGTAAGAGATAAGTACATAATATAACAAATCTTTGTTCTTCTTCATTACAGTTTTTATATATAAAGAAGCAGGAGCCCATCACCTGGAGCCTCCAGACAGACTATATCCTTGAGTCAACCTTTCCTTGTATCTTTTTATTTTTAGAACAGTCTCAATTGGGCTGTTTTCACCTGCGTCTGTACTTGAAACAAAAAAAATGGCAGCGAAAGCAAAAGAAAGCGGATTCCCTTTTCGAATAAATCCTTTTTCCTATATTCTTGAAAGTTCGGTCCACAATTGCTCCTTTCCAGCCGAGGAAACCTGGTAACCTGGGAGCCTAGGAGCTGTTAATGAATAACTTCACTGAACCTCAGCTTTTCTTTTTTCGATGCGAGCCATCTTGATCCGGCACTGTTAGAGCTTCAGATGCACAGCCCTAGGTAATGTAAGCTTTGCAAAAGGTTTTCACAGGAGCCTATGGTTTAGAGAAATGGGGGACTCTTTAGATTGTCCCAAAAATCAAGGTGCAAAACATTCAAAGAGGTCTTTGAATTTCGCCCATGACGAGCAAGCCACGAGCTCGAGTGTCCATGTCAATGCTAATCCAAACCGCATCGTTCAGCGGATCGAAATAAAGAGTATACTGTGAAAGAAATTACAGGACAAAACAAAATCTAGTGTTGCCTTCTTACTGGAAAAATGGCAAAGTGACCTTTCAGCCGCTGGATTCAATTGTGAGATACTGCATCTCACAAAGAAACACTCACCTCTTGATGATGCGGAGGATCCTCTCGCCGTTTTTCTGGATTGGTCGTTGTTGTGTAGCCTTCACAACTCCATACATTTTACTCGTCAGACAGGACATTCCAGCCTGTTCGTCTCATTGTGTATGGAGACGGAAGTGGATCTCCAATGTCTTATCTACGAGCATTTGATCATACAGTCTGGAAGAGTAGAGGAAAGTGGAAACCTTGTGGAACTGACCAGAGCCCTGCTTTCTGGTGACAAGACTTTATGCCCAGGGATAATGGAAGATTTCTCGGACTTTGGATACGTCCCTAAGGGTCTAAGAGTCATGGATGGAGTGATAACAACCACACACGCAAAGTCTTGTATGATTTGGCATGTGCCCTCATCCCGCCAGAACATCTCCTCTAGATCTAACTCCTTAGATCCTCGTTGGAGACGAGTTTGTTGCGAATGTTTGAAGTTTACATGGTATGTAAAGAAGAGAGTGAAGGCAAAAAAGAGCGTTGATGCAGCAACTAAGAGTTTGCGCCAAATGCCAAGTAGCCACTGTCCTTGGAAATTCCTTTCTCCAAGCAGTATGTTCGCCAGCAACGAACCAGGCTTCAGAAGCAGGCAGTGTGCTCTTACAAAAAATCAAAGGTTGAGCTTCCAGTGAATCAGTCCAATGAACTCTGTCAACTCATACAAGCAATCGAAAGTTCTGAGGAGGGTAAAGCCGAGCTGGGTAAAATCATAGGAGATGGCAACAAATTTGAAGGGAAAAATGCTGTGAAGGCTGGAGATTGCATCAAAGAAGTGTGGAACCGAGAACGGGAAGGCTTTTTCAAGGATCAGCGTAATAATGGTAGGGATTGAAAATTATACAGTGACATTTTTGTGCATACACTTCATGTTCTTAGTTTTTTTGGTTGATTTAGTGTTTTTGTTTGTCCCTTGATCCAGAAGCCGACTGAATTACTGCTAATGCATGCCAGCCTTACTGTATTTTAATTCAAGCTTATACCTTTTAGGTGCATAATTCAACACCCTCTATTCATTTAGCTCACCCTGCTATAGAATTATTTCCTCATAGCTCTACATGAAAGATCTTATTCTTAAAAGACAATAATTCTTTATTGGTTTCCTATTTGCAGTGACTGGAAAAAAGGGAAACAGATGGTCCTTGACCACAATCCGAGTTGGTAAATATAAGTTCAGTGCCATTCAGTTTTCACTTGCAGTAGTCAAAATGTCGTAAAATGCATAACATTATATACTGTCTTGGATTTTCAAATAGATTCTTTTAGTGTTTCAGTTTAAATAATATTTAATTACTGCAATGAGACAAATATGTTTTGCATGCCAGACACATGTAATTTAAACATGTCTCTTTAAAAACCTGTTTTTTTTTAATTACTTAGTCTGGTGCTACAATAAGAATTAAAAATAATAAATAGGTACTGTATCACCATCTTCATATAAAATGGAATAAATATTTATCTTGAAGCTAACTATTTTTATTAATTTGTACTGTTCAAGCTCTTGCAGTATATAACCATAGCCCATCTGCTTATGAAGCATTATGCAGCCTAAGTATCCTTCAGCTTCCCTGCACCAAGGCATTAAAAAAGGTTTTGAAGGATGGTACCGAGCAGCCCAGTATTGATCACCTTTACTTTCAAAGTCAGAAGAAGAAGTTTAAGGAGTACCAACAAACTCGTGAAAGTGCTGCTCATCTCCGCCCTCTAGGAATGGGAGTATTGATGTAGGATGAGGTGAAGGTAAGAGACAAGAACTGGCTTTATTTTTGGATTTGTAATTTTTTACGCCTGGCTGTATTTGTTAAGTAAACTAAATTATGTCAGTACTGTAAACCCAAGTCTCATTTTATATGCTGATATTTATTTCTGCCTCTATTTCTACCATGATTGGATTTACCTTTCAGATCCAAATGAAAGTAGCATAGGAATCTGAAAGGTGGTGGAATAACAGGCTTTACCATGGCAGAAGATGAGCTGCCTGTACTGCATATGATGTTTACTCATCTGTCATCCAGAGTGGTTGTCAGAAGGCCAGTTATATTGTACAGTTTCTTTGGTGTGACCTGACATCTGGTTATGATATGATTGGCCCCTATTTTCCGGTACCAAATTCAATGGATGTAAACACCTTACAGCAGTTCTTTATGTCGTGTCTTAAATCATTCCATGCATACGGCTTTCGAGTTTCCATAGTCCTGTGTGATGGAGCTTCATCAAACCTGACACTTCTGAAGATGTTGTGTGGCTACCCTAGAGCCGTACTGCCCATGAATGATGCCGCAGAAGATTTAAGGGCGAGGTATTTTGTTGACATGTCATTTACCAATCCTGAGGATTCCACTGGCAGTTCAGTGTTCGCAATGATCTGCCCAAGTCATTAGGTAGTAAAAATGTGTTGTTTCTGGTAAATCTTTGTTAACTTATCCGGGAACTAGCATTAGCACCTGCTTAATTTGCTTAAAGAAAAATTTCTTTGTTCTTCAAACAATAACTGCATTTTGGCGCGAAAAGATTTCCCTTCACTCGAACTCTCTGGTCAAATACGGCAGACAAACTGAATGATAAGGGTGACTCTAGGACAATCCAAGAGATTGACAGGGCTGTCGTGACGAGGCCTCGAGGGGCTGCCATGTTGGTGAACTGAAGGACGTTTACGATAATTAATTCTAGCTTTATCATTAAAATAACGTAATCTTGACTCAGACAGTTGTAAAGAATTATCCTTCCTCCTTTCATTTACCTACTTTGATCCGATAATAGTTTAGCCTGAGCTACGAACGGCTATAACTTCTCACAGCACTTTTACAGTACTTAAAAGGTACACAAATTTTGTAGAAATTGGAAGGCCAATATCACCCATGCCACATCGATTTAGAGTAAGCCGTTTTCACTAAACATAGTTTGTTTATCGATAAGTTAGACTGTTGAATAAAATAATTGGGCAAATGTAACGGAGCAGAACTACAATTGCATGATTTGAACAGATAAAGCTAGAATTGTCTGCCATATTGACCAGAGAGTTCGAGAGAAGGGAAATCTTTTTGCGCCAAAATGCAGTTATGCAAACATCCCGTATGTACAGAGTAGTGAAACTCTTACCATTTCCGGTTCCTGTGTATTTGTACTTCCACTTCCTTTTGAATTGAAATTTTGGTTTTTCGAATTTGAATATGTGACGTGACTTGGAATTTTGTGGAAGATTATGATTCCATTGTTGACGATTAAATAGCTGATTAGAGTGGAGAAGGTGAATTGAAGTTCAAATCATGTAATTTGCATTTTAGCTGGAATGGTGATTTGGACTTTAACATCCACGATGTTGAGTTTTCCCTTTACAGTTTCAACTTGTTCAAAGTAACTTCAAGTTTGAATGATGCTATTTCGACTGTGTTCATTGCGATTTCAAATTCACATGACGAGATTTCGACATGGATAGTCTAATTTTTGAAATTCAAATTGTATTTTATTTTCAGTTATTTTTGTCTGCAAATGTACGCCATGGACCAGCCAAGATCATGCAGGTGCCTAGTTTATTTAACTGTATTTATTATTATTATTATTTTAAATTTATTAGATAATATTTTTAGAAATATCAGATTGCACTGTAATAAATTTGATTCCCATTGTAATGTGCTTTTTGTTTTTCTTTTGATTACCGCAACATTACATGATTGCAGCAACTCAAGGGCTCAGCAAGGAACCTACTCAAGAGAGCGCCAAACGTGCTGCCAGTTTTCTTGAAGCTTGTAACCTTCTTTTGAAAAAGGACTTCTGAGCAATCACAGGATTAATAGTCTCCGCAGCCCTGCTATCAGAAATATCAAAAAAGGAATGGCCTTTTTTGAGAAATGGTGTCACAGCCACGAAGAAACAGGTAACTTTAGGCACAGTGTGCTTGATCTACTGATGTTACAAACAATGTCTTATATTAATAGGTTATATATGTCGTGGTTCATTTATTTCCCTTTGTTTTGAGGTATGGTAATGTAAATCAATGGGAAATTAAAATTAAAACTGAGGATAAAATTGAACCAAAACATAATATTATATAAAGATGTACAAAAGAAAAATTGATGTAGACTTCATGAGGTCATCATCTATACTTCAGAACTAGTCCATCGCCACACTACCTCATATGAACAAAAATGATCACATTCATCAGACAGCAAATGAAAAGTAAAATTCAAATTATATAGGTTAATAATTAATTATATATACATTACAGGTGGTTACTAGGCGTATCTTCCAATAGATTCATTTTTCCAACTTGTTTACATTCCTAGCCTTGAGTTTTTACACATATTATTAACCAAATCAACTCAACCTGCAATAAAATACATTTTAGAACATAGTGAGATTAACAAGTGTTTGTTCCTTTTGGTTTTTCCTTAGAATATGCTGATAACTCGAAGAAATCCAGACAAAAACGGTTTTTGGTGTGGCAGGTCAGTAAAAGGATAGGATGATCATACTTTTCTTTTTCAACATGGGCAGAAAAAAGGACATTATTTTCTTTGTTTAATGCATCCCTTCATATAATGAAACGTCGAATATTGGAGCCAACCAAGGTAATTAAGGGTGGCCTGCCGTGAGAAACTAAAAATTTCCTTCTGGCTTACTTCTCAGTGGTTTTACACTGACCTAGCATTAGGAGATTGATAATCCAACTCCACAGACTAGACTGAAAATGGCAGAAGCAAACCCCTTAGTTCTCAAACCTCTTTTGATTTCCCTTTCTCATTCACAATCTTCAAGAAAACTTGTAAACTATGAGCCGGTAAACATATTTCCCTGACTGTTCACCGACTTTAACAAGGACAAAGGTATCCACTTATGTTTTAAAAAAAAACCTGAAAATGACTTTTTGCTGACTTAAAAAATTTTCTGCCTTTTTCTGACCATGGCCACCCTGCATAACTAATTAAACATGAGTGGCAACCAAACATATTTGGGCATAATAGTCATACAAGCACAATTTGACAGTGTGCTGCTTACTACTTCAAGATACTTAGCATTCCTTTAGCCTATTTTGGAGTATTTTCCTATTGCAGTGCTGATTATTATTTTTTAATGTTATTATTTGTAGACTTGGGATCTTCTTCAAGTTGTTGTCTATGGCTTCCTATGATTCTGTGAATGGTTTTTCACAGTTGTATCTCCACATGGCAGATACTTTATCAGCCCTCTGAGGATAAACGGAAGTGCACTGGAATCAATTTTCAGTGTGCTCAAACACACAAGTGGAGGAAATCTCTCTGCTATTGCTTACTACCCTGCATTGGGCAGGCTTATCAGCAGAAAAAGTTTAACCTTAAACAAAAATTCCGAGAAGGGCTACTTAGATCAGATCCTTAACTTAGATGGTGGTTCCCTAAGATCAGTAGATTGGCTTGTCATAAAGTGCACCATGGCAACAAGGAACATTTGTCAGTTTACATTTCCACCTCACATTGCTCAGTCCTCAAAAGGAGGAAGGCAAGGGAGCAATATGTGCACAATAATTGCTGTTAAGTTTGGCAGTTACTGCATCCAACATAAGCTAGACATTTCCTTGCTTTGGACACAACTGCCTTATTTGTGGTGTTCTTTGTTTGTAAATGCAATCTGGCGAATTTTGGAACATTAACGGAACTTTGTACAGCACGCAAAGAAGAGTGCCCACAAATTTTATTGGATTAAGAAGTAGACTGGTCTTAGTACTTCTGATTTATCATTGACTTGAGTCTGGATAAGGTACCACTTTAGCACAATTACTCTTCAGTTCTAGTTATGCAAATTACCTTTCCTGCCGAGAAAATTAAAGGTCATTTGAAAAATTTCATATCTCAGCCAACTTTCCACAGAATGCAACCGTTAAACCATAAAACTATTAATCAGAGCTGAAACTTTTGTGTGTAAAATAATTAGGTTATTCAGCGTTGTAAGGGGGTTTGACAGAGCCATAAAGTTTCAACAAAATCGCACCTCTTCCAACAGCAAACTAGCTAGTTTTCGGTCACCTAGGAAATCTTCCTGTAATATAGAGAAAAAATTGAATTGGTCCAAATAAATGTGATATTTCTTCATGGGATTGGATCGTTATCTTCCACTGAAAAAATCTGGGCAATCTGTGAAAGACCAAAATTTGCCTTATCGGTTCTTACGCGGACAGCCTCTTAAATGTGATCGAAGATGATTACCAGTTTTTGGGTGTACATATGAGGCTATCAACTTGATGTAAGATTTGGCTCACTCTTGGGCTGTTTGCAAATTATATTTCTCTAAAATCACGTAGCCTTTCCCTCAAAAGTCACATAAATGTGCTCTAAAAATAACTGAATTGTGGAATTCAAGTTTATTGTTTGATTTAAATTATAAATTTATTAATGGGAGCTTCGCCTTTAGCCCTGGCTAAATCTATATATTACTATTTTTGGTTTTTTATATATAGCTAATGTAACTTGTTGCATTATAGGAAAAAACTAGAAATTTATGTATGTTAGAAAGATTCAATAGAAGATATTATTTTTATGGCATTTTCTTTAAAAGTGATTTTCTTTGCTAGTTCTAGTTCACAGACAGCAGCAGAACGGGGATGTGTTCTCTGGAGGATTTCCTAAAAAAAATTAGTGAACATCTGGTCTAACAATGTGTCTACAGCAGGGCAGATGACCATCTTTCTTTTGCTGCCAGGGAAATCCCACCCATCATCCCAACAGCTTTTAGGGGGCCAATAGGGTATAATTCAGAATTAGGACAAAAAGTGAACTTATAAAAGGCACCACTGCTCCTGAATGTAAACCGTCATTTCCATTATTTTCTCAGTCATTTTGTTAGCTTCCTGGAGCCTCTTGATTCTTGATAAAAATCTTTAAGAATTCATTTTGCTAAGTGATTTTTGTTATTAAAACTATAAGATTAAGCAAGTGTTATTAAAGTCAAACATCAAGTTAATGTTGAAGATAAAACCTAACTTAGAAAATGCAACAGAACTCGCGTTCAAATTTCTCCATTTTGTATTTATACACCATCAATTTACTTTTAAGTCTCCCTCGCAGTTGTTTTTTTCTTGTCACACAATGCTCCTAGCTTTGCATCGCAAGACAAAATTAACTACAAGTTACACAACAATTTACTGTCCTTGTTTAAGCACACAACCTGGAAGACCATGGGATATCTTGATCTTTGTACATGGGGGAGCACCTCACTTCCAATATGGAACCTCCACTAAAGAGTTGTTTAAACTTTCATTGTTATCATTGTTCTGTTCTTTAATTTTGTTGAACAGCTTTCAATCAGTGACTGAAATCACCAATTGCAAGATCACAATTAACCTGGAAAAAAGTTTTTTTTTTTTGCTTTTGTTTATATTCAGATTCTGTTTTCAGTTTCCAGCTGGGATGGCAATCAGATGACGAGTGAAAATCACATTGTACCAAAATTATTTTGTTTGATCCATCTATGTATTGATACCACGGGGAAGGAGAGAATCCTGTCATTCAGAAAGGGGCTATATGTGTCACTCTTAATGCCATTTTTAAAACTATAAGACATGAAATTCAGGTTGAAATCTGAGAGATTTGATGAAGGTCTATATAATTTTGCGTTGAAACTTTTTAAAATTGGCAAGAATGGCTAGTAAACCAGACCAATCTGTTTTTTGGTTTTACTTCTATGACTGTAAATTTGTTTAATATCTTCGTGACTATACTGGTGCACATAACTCACCGTGAAAAGCAGAAGCAATATCCAATACATGGCAATATCTCTTTTTCTTTCAGGCAAAACTACGTATGGATATTCATGCCTTATATGCAAGTCTCTTAGTGGGGTTATGTCCTTTCCATGGTTATAACAAATCTTCGGGTAGAACTGGTGGATTTTACCACTTGGTTTGTCGTCATGGAGTGAGTACTGAAATTTGTAACTGGTTGTTATTTTGTAAAAGTTCTTTAAGACTTCAAATTATGATCAGTCATTAGATCGAATGCATACTGTATTTATTTGGCTATAAATATTACACACTTTAAGCCTCTTACAATGAAAAAAAATGGGTATAAAGTAAACAACAGGTGTTAAAAGATATGCCATGTTTGTGGGGGGGTTGGGCTTTAGTGTGAATCGTTTGAAATTAATTTAGGAAACCAGGTGGTGTAAATTTGTGCTAATGACCATTTAGGCTAACTTGGGAAAAAGCAGATTCTTACCCGCCTGTTTTTATTGTTGAAATGCATAAAATAAAACATACTGTGCTTAATCTTATATCCAAGAACCAAAGCTACATGCAACTAACATAAATTTCAAGGAGTATTTTAATGTGACAACACTGGTTCAATAATGTCACATCACAAGTGGTCAAGTTTGAAGTTTATCTTGCAATAACTTCCTTACCAATATTTAAGCTATGATTCATTTTGTTTTCCTTACTAATAACAATAGTAATAATAATGGAATTTACATAGCGCTTATACATTGCTGTTCTAAGCGTTTTACAATGTAAAAAAGGACACAAGAATATCATTAATCACAAGCTTACATATAACACTACTGTACATATTGGGAAATTTATAGCATACAAATCTTAAAAAGGAAAGAAAACAAAAACAAATATGATGAAACTAAATGTCATATACCTTTTTGAAAAGTAATGTTTTCAACTTAGATTTAAAAAGATTAACATCACAACCAGCACGAATTTCGAAGGGGAGCTTGTTCCATAGTTCAGGGGCAGCAATGGGAATGCTCCCTGGCCATAAGTTTTCATGTTAAAATTTGGTTCTTCAAGGCGTAAATGAT